GACTAAAGTTGCAGACAGAATGACTAATATCTCTGCTACAATGCCTGCGGCATTGTTACACATATCAAAACACAGTGGAAAAATTTCCACGATATGTACTGATCATGTCCGTTTTGGAATTTTGGACATGCTGGAGCTTCTTCCTTTGGCATCACTCCTAGACTAAAACTTGATTTAACGAAAGGCAAATCACAAAAAAACATGTCAGCTGGCACGACACTTCCATAGTTCTCAGGTGAAAAAAGCTTTTATTTGATAGACCAATCAAAATCAAGACAAATACGATGATGAATAGTAGATTATCACCACATTATTTAGGGCTCCTAAATAGCTATGTATTGGGGGTGTAAGGACTGCTAATGTCTCGCTTGCTTTTCAACAACAGACTCATAATCCCAAGAAGAAATACTCGGTCTAATTTTGTGTCAGTGTGGACTCACCAGAGTGTAAACTATGGCTCCAATTGCAGCGTAGAGCATATGCAGCCAGGGGACCTGTTGAGTGACATAAGAAAGGCTCCTGAATGTGAAATCAGTCACACAGATACACCCTTGGGAGCTGCTGTTCCTCACGCAGAGAAACACGAGTAGACAGAATAAATTAAATGACTTGACCAGAGCAGGCTCACATATTGGAAGGAGAGGACGATGGCTGTAACAATCCCAATGATCATGAGCAGAACGGCCGCAATGCAGAGGAGTCCGCCGCAGGAGGTGAAGTCCACCTGTGATGAGAAACAAGTCATTAAGGGGATGAAAGTGAAGCTGATATGCTTCAAGCTACATGAAAGAGCAGTGAGACTATTGTGAAAGAGGATCGGAATAAGGTGAAAGAGAAATATATGTGCGTGCGTGTGTGAAACGTGTCTTGTAGAAGCCAAAAATGTAACTTGTGTATCTCGAGTTGCATCAGACAGAGAAGTTGGATTCGCATCTTATCCCAAAATGTTATAAATATTTAAAGGATTTCAGTGCCCCCATTGTAATGCAAGACAAAGGAGTTCTTTTACACCGACAACAAAGACATCCCTTGACAAGCCACAGGCTACTGAGCTACAGCGAGACAGTTTACATCTCCGTGTACCTTAGTTTGGAAGCAGAAGACTGTCACAGCTATACAGACTAATGCTGTTACTCCCATGGCGATAAACACTGCTTTGGTTCCATAATAGCTGTAAAGGACACATGTAGCGATTAAAACGAAACAAAAAAAAAGGCACATATATACCATCAGGATCAAAATGTGCTGTTTTGAGCTGTTGTTTGAATAAAGCCAATAAACAAACCTTGAAACTGCTCCGGCCATGTAAGACAAGGCAAGAGTCTGCAAGATCAAACATGAATACAATGTGTCTTAAATGTCAGAGTGAGTTTTAGCACTTTTTAGAGATGTCTTATTTCTACTGACTTTACTTTTTCAGTCTTCAGCACCTCACACTATGTTAGTTCTGCACATATATATCTGCTGTGGCATTACCAGTGTCAATGTCTGACCCTTAGTCTAATAAACAACACTTACAAATACTCCAAGCAGCACAAGATTCCATGGAAAACGCCTCCTAAAAAGTACAGAAACCACAAACATCACTGTTTATGAATATTTTAATAAGCCATAATAATAGCAATAATAAAACAACTTAATTTTTCCAACTTATTTGGCCTTGCTTACCTCGGCTCTTTGCAGCAGATGAGAATGCAGTAAACCACAAAGTAAACCACACTACGGAAAGATTCACCACTGTGATTATTATTACATGCATCATATTCTTCACATGTTTTGTTTTTTTTATCAATTGATGTAATTGCACTAAAAGTGTCCGGTTGTTTCTTAAAAGTAACTCACAAAGATGCCCAGTAGATGCCAGGGTAACTGATGACAAACATCCTCACTGGGTCACTGTGAAAGCAGATACATGGCATCACCAAAGGGCAGACTGTGTTTCTTACCCTTCACCAGATACATTCACCAGTGGCTAGATGGATGTACAAATGGGGAAACTTACACAAACGTAAAGACAGCAACAACTGAGAAGGTGACAGCAAGCTGTGCTGATAAAATTAAGTAAACCTGTCCAAAAAAGAAAGAAAAAAAGAAAGATCAGAGCAGCAGGATTGTCACTGGCACAAAGAGCAAGTTAAGACACAGTCACAAACCCTTACTTTTCTGATGAAGGCATGCCGAACAGATGTGCTTTCCCACTGGGTGCTGAGAAAATCCTCCATCTCTCCTGCAGAATTTGGAAGAGCCAAGTGGTAATTTATCCTTGTTACACCTAATCTAAATATATTGCAGGGTGTGATTACTTCAAGACTGTGCCACTCGCTAAGAACCTGAGTTGGAGGCAGGCAGTCCAGCAGACAGAGTCGGTATTGTGGTGGGCATCCCAGATGGAGGAAGGCCAGGGCCTTGACACATGCTGATCGGCGGGTAGACACCCCCTTGGCCCCAGTAGCCAGGACTGGGACTGTAAGATGGAGGTGGGGGAAGAGGAGAGCCATGCTGTGGCTGGTAGGGGAAGTTATCACACTTAGGATGATGCAGTGCTTCCTCGTAGGGGGGAGGACTGTCAATTTTAGATGTCATCATTTTTCTGGACTACCCTAAAGACAGGATGAGTGGTACAAAGCTATGTCAGACTTACATCTTTTCACTATCCACTAGTTATTGCTGACTTTCCATTTTCACAATTACAAAATAAAATCTTCCTTCTATATTACATCGTAAATCACAGTATGTTGCGTTGCTTAATTCTGTGCTATTATTTCCTGGAAAGTATGTGGTCACCCTAGTTTCAGAAAGGGTGATCACACAAGTCCCTCCTTGCGCACAGCATTATTATCTGTTTTTCTGTGTTTCACATGTGATTCTCAGAAATCAGCACCGAATAACAGAATTCTAAAGTCTGGCTCGTTTCCAGTTGCTGTAAAGAAAATTGGGAAGGCTGTCTCTACAGGACGTCCTGGTGGCCTCGGGGACGTTTTGGCTTGCTGTGAACTTTCAGCTGGTTCAAGCACCACGCAGGAACCACGCAAATCTACCACATCAAAGACATGCAAAACTGTTGCTCTGTCTGTCTCTCTCAGCAAGGCAGGCGACGTGAACCAGGTAACGTTAGACACGTTGAACAGATGAAAGGGAACGATGGAGGAAAGAGGGAGGGAATAAAAAAGAGAAGGCAGGTAAATGCTGAAAAATAAGTGGCAGTCAGGAGCAGGAACGTGTGCATATGTGTTATTTTGATACTTTTGCACAGTTCTTGAGTACAAAAACCTCTCACTGTGCATAAAGCTCACTGTGTCTCCCTCTTTGGTTTAAAAACTGTATTAGATAAAGGTATTATTCCATATTTCTGGCTTTGTACATGTGTATGTGGGGTAAGTGTGGAAGATTTTCCCTGTTACAGCGGCAGCCATGTCAGATTTTTGAAAACTTGGAACTCACAATAATAAATTACATTTAAATTTAACATTAAAAATGTAATTTTGTTATCATTCTGTATATCTGTATGTACTGTAACACCGCAGACACCCTTGGTCTCCTTACACTTGTATTTTAAGTGTGAGTCACTTGCTAATTAAAAATTAATTTGACTACTATAAATATTTTAAATTAGAGTGCCACGTTTGTTCGGGATAATTGGGCCACATGTAATGAAACTGCAATATTTTGAAGGGCTGAAAAAAGGTGTGGTTAGCTGGGAAAGTTAGCAGTCTGGTGCTGTTGCTTGAATTATAGTTTAACTCAGCTCTTGGTTGTAATTCAACATATAGTTTCACAAGACACATTGAAACAACTTAAACATTATTGTGTCTGGAAGGCACAGTCATGCCATGTGTTCACATTTATTGCTTGATAAAATATAAGAAGGGTCGCGCAAAGTATGAGAGTAGAACCCAATGACTGTAATTCTGTTTAATTTAAGAATGATGTGTATGTGGACACTTGGAGGCCAAGGAAAGTTCCCCCATCTAAAGTTATGATTTTTCTTTTTTCAATATGCAATCCTGAGCTCACCTTCAGTTTCATTTATTCTATTAAAGCACCTGTAAGAGCAGTCGAATCCCTCTGCAGCACCTCAACGGTCTGAAAAGGCCAGACTGCATACATTTTTTCTTTTTGTATGTAGTCTAGTCAGATTGCTCATAAAAATTTGTACTGTACTTAAGAATTTTTATGATAGGAAAAGAGAAAAAAGCAAGCATACTGCCGATTGTGAACAGAAAATTAAGCCTGTGTTATTTTTAAAACCCAGCCATACATTATATACAAATTTTAAAACACTACAACACTGCACTCAAGTAATCTCTTTGACCCACTTTTGGTTTGCTATGATCTGGTCACCCAGAAAACAAATGAAAACAAAGCAGAAAAGGTTACTTACCTTGTGGCTTGCGCCTGAGTTGGGTTCACTGTGTCCTTCAGTCCTGCCTTGGAGATTTGCAGCCGTGCACAACAGGAGGATGTCATCCTTTGTAACTGGATATGCTGGCTGAAACTCACACTGTTACTGCTGCTCTCAGAAAGAGGAGACTGGTTACTCATGTCGCCTCCTGCTAAAAAGTACCAATATTACCAAAACACAAACTACTGGTTGTACCTGCCTCTGCAATTAGTTAAATGCCAGTGCTTCCTTGATACCTAGTCAGCTTTGGCATTTTGTCTAAGGGTAATTGTAAGTCATAATTATATGTCAATGTATTTTTTCTTGTACTACAAAAATCATTAGAATTAACCTACAATACGGTTATAACAACAGACAGATAATTATTCAACATTTACATCAGAAAGAAATGTGATTCTAAAAACAGAAAGAAACAGAAATTATGTGTTTCTTGAAGCAAAGTGGATTGGGATATAAAACAGGTAAAATCACACAGTATTTTTGCTAGTTCATATGCATGTTAAAGTTTGCCTGACAGACTGTCAAAACCCTTTTTTTAAATTTAATTTCATTTACTACTACTACTTCCCAAGTGGTTCTGATGCCTAAACCTAAGCAAAATGTGATGGGAAAAATGTATAATGAAAATATACAGAAAAAAATATAATATACTCGGTTTTAATACATAAAAGAAAACGTAAACACGAGAAATCAGGTGTTAGCACAACACCGGTAGTGAGCCTAAAAGTCACCAGGGGACTGATGTGACGTGTCGCTAGATACGTCATTACGTTCCGCTCAAAGGCTATGGCGCTTCCTGACTGGATAATAACACTGGTAGCCACTTCATCCTTCATCTGTTTTTGTTTGTGCCTTCGCTACAGACGGACAGGACAGGTGTTTTGGAGAAAATTGTTCAGCAAGATAATGGCCCGAACGGAGAAGCCCTTGTTCCGAATAGCGTGAGTATGGCGCCACTTTCCTTGGCGACAGAGATTTCTGTCGTTTCCTTGGCGATTCTCTTGGCGTAGCTTAGCAACATCTAGCCATTTTTATGTGCTATAGATTTGTCCCACGTAATTTAATTTAGACAAGACCATTTGAAAAGTACAGCTGTTGGTATTCTGCTGTGAGGCTCTTCTCGCGATAATGCCATTTTTTTCATCAGCATATGCTGCAGTGGCTTCAACTTTATTTTAAGAGACGTTTGCATACCAACCATTTAAGTTACGTCAGTTGTGCTCATTCAACAAACCAAAGAAATGACAGTAACTGCATGGCGAGGTTAATAATGTTAACAGCTTTTACTATTGGGACATAACATTTCCAATTGTCTCCCAGGTACACACTCTACACTAAGACCAGACTTGGCTACATGTACTACAAACGGCAAATGCGGAAAGCTCGTGAAAATTACCCTGGAGGGCATTCAGCTACAGATCCCGTGGAGTTCAATGGTATATGCAACAATTACTGGTTTAACTGGGTGACACTGGGCCAAACAATGCCTTGCTGTCACACGCTGTACATACCATAGAACCAATTGTTATTACTATCAGTACAAAATTCTAGCATTTGTTTCATTAAAGATGGATATTTTTATTAGTGCATGTTTAATGTTGTCCCGAATAATTATTATGTCATTTCTTTCTCTGCCCACAGGTGTTAAAATAATTCCTATCTCTGTGCTCTCTGACAACTACAGCTACCTTATCATTGACAGAGCCTCGAGCATCGCAGTCGTTGTAGACCCTGCAGACCCTCAGATAGTTCAGGTGAGTGCCTCTAATGTCACTTATGTGTCTTTGAATGGGTTAATAGATTTAGGCTATTGCGCTGAAAACAGCAATCAGTAACTGTGTAGTTAGTTCCAAGGGAAAAGTTGTTGTTTTTTCTTCAGGACAGATATCGCCTGATATTAGTGAAACATGATTGATTTGCTTCTAGTTCAGCATTATTTTGTATATGTACCACAACTCTGATCCTTAAAGGTATTATATGAAATGTATAATATCTAGTATTAAGATCTTTAAGAAAACGAAATATTTTTTAGGGGAGTTGGAATAATACTATTAAAGTGTGATGATTGTCATTCAGTTCAAAGCCAGTTTAGTAACACATACAGGACATAGATGGGGTTAAAATGTATAAATAGTGTGAGTTACAAACAATATATGAAAGCCTATATAGAATTATTGCTGTATTTATAAAAGGATGAGGTGTGTAAACAAAAAAATTGAGTTGTATTGAAAGCTTGATTGTAATTGTAGGGCTCATTGACATTGGAGCCTCTCTCTCTTACAGCTGGTATCTCTGCACTGTCATTTTTCTGCTACCTTACAACCATGTGTTTTACTTCAGCTGCAGCTGTTGACTGTCCGTAGCCAGCTGTTGTGAATGAGTGTGTTTTGTATCCATGGTATCTCTCCTTATTAAATACACAAGTATAATAACGCTGTGATGTGTCATGAATTTGAAGTGTTGACATGAAGGTTTTACCAACACCAGATTTATTTTTATTTATTTTTTTTATTTCAGGCAGTCCTCGAGGCAGAAGGAGTAATGTTAGAAGCAATACTATGTACACACAAGCACTGGTGAGTTTCATGTAATTTGTATGTATAAAAAAGGAGTAGGGGGGAAAGACAGCATAGTATTGTGATATTTAGCATAGCAGTGTTATATTGATACAGGGACACCAATTATCGATATTTTGTTTTGGAAATACTGTGGACAAGAGGGCTTATCTCACCTGATAAGAGGCAACCTTTCTGCAAACAGATGCAGTCTGGCTTGGACTGACTGGAATTACTATGAGACAGATTGTAAATGTATAAATGCAGAGAGATTGCCAACATCTTGCCATCAGTCTGAACGAGTCTTTATTAATGATTACAACTTGAAGGGACTTAAACTTAATGGGCTGCCAGCTCATTGTATTCTGGTTATATTCCTATAGAACAGGAAGGTTGATCAGTGCAAATATAATAGTTTAATGTGGCTATTGAATATTTATAACAGTAAATTGCTGCAATATCAGAAACAGATTGGATGTCATTGCCAACTTGACCCCATTCAATATGACACTGGTAACATTTATAGTAGGTCTTAGTGACAGTTTTGGTGTACTTTACCATCTCCTTTTGTAGCTAAAAAAATTCCTGAGGTAACTTTATCTTATTGGATAAGACAGATATTGAAAATGTTTAACTTCGAGGGCATAATTTGCAGTTGAAGGCAAAAAAATCAAAATATATGTTAATGTGATAATCATACAAGACTCAGCATGTCACAAAAGGTTAAAAAATCGTACAATATTTACTATATAGTAGGTATAGTAAAATAAAAATGTGATTCACATCTTTAACACAAGAAGTTAGACTTATTATTGCCGTACTGCAGATTAAAAGAATGCCATGCATTTGTATGTATAGATGTTTTCCCCACATTTTGAAAGTCCTGCCTTCAGTTTGATTAAAGTAAGCACAGTGTGTTTTTTTTAAAAAAAAGGTACTTTGTATCTGTAATGTGTATGTCTTGTCTAAATTGCTGCGTGAACCTTCTTTGTGATCCGTGTACAGGGACCACAGTGGGGGAAACAAAGGGTTGAAACGGCTGCACAGCTCATGCCGAGTTTATGGAAATGCGGCTGATAACATTCCAGGCCTCACGCAGTAAGTCCCAGCTTGCACAGTATAGCCCACTGGCTCACTTTGAATCATTCTTACTGTACTAAGTCCTGTTTTGTTCCCACTGTCAGTAGTGGTAGCAGCTGACTTCACACTAAATTATCGTGGCATGAGTGACTATTCTGTTATGTCTGAGGGGATGGAGGGTTATTTTAGGAATTCCAAACCACCAAACTAAAGATTTTTTTTTTTTCACATTTTTTTTCTAATAATGTAAAAATAATATGGGAAGGTAGTCGTTTTTGATACCTTTGCTCAACTGGTACATTTCAGAAATGGAAGTCTATTTCAGTTATTTTTAATCTTTTAATTTTCACTAAAAATCAGTAACTCCACACTTCTTGGTTTAGGTTTTTTCATTACTTGTTTTTCTTTCCAGCCCTCTCTCACACAATGACTCGGTAACAGTTGGGCGTATGCGCTTTAAGGCCCTCTTTACCCCTGGACACACGGTAGGCCACATGATCTACCTCTTGGATGGTCAAACAGTCGGTGCCCCCTCCAGCCTCTTCTCTGGTGACCTGGTGTTTCTCTCAGGATGTGGTAAGTTATGCAGAAAACCAGATCAAGACGAATTATTCTAGCTGTTTGCTTCTTTTTGGGGGGTTTTCAGAGTTACTGAAAATGCAGGATGAAATAGTTTGTTTGATGTGGAGTCATTCTACATGGGTTCTCTGGGTTTTACTGGCTCAAAATTGTTCTCTACAGGGAGTGACTATGCATGCAAACACAATTTGTCTGCACGTCGATATAGTTGTTACCTTAACAGAAGTCTATGCATTGCCCTCTTATTCCTGGCAATTTGATCAAAATATATGTTATGCTTAAGTAAAAGCAACTTAAAAAAAAACTGGTGTGGCGTTTTTAGAGTTTAGAGAGTCTATACTGTAAAAATGCTGAAGTCTGAGAACCTGATGATCGCACAGTCTAAAAGTCAGCTAAAATGCATAAGTGTGATACAAAGGAAGCGTAATTTTGACTTAATTGTACCATGTGATATATACGAAAAACCTATCTGTCATCAGTGTTTCAATCGGTGCAATTTTAAAAAGGATCTTTGACCTGATGCCTTTTCTGCATTCACATCTGTCATTTTTGGTTCACATCCAGATTACCTCATTCAAAAGCAAGTTTAACATTGCTAATGCAAGTCAGCACCATCTTAACTGAATACTGTTGCATGCAAATTACACCTTTTCATATTTCATCAGAAATGCTGATGAGATTTCCTTTGCATAACTTAATGTAACATAGTTTTTTTTTTTAAGACTTGAAATCATTTAATCAGTTGCGTCAAAAAGTACTTAAAATATATACTTAATTATAGTATTGTATATTTAGTGGCCTGTTTTGGTTCCCTTGTAATACCAATGGCTTTTTTTCTAACATGTTCTTTAATATACAATAGATTTTGTATAGCAATTTAGTGATTGTCTGGTTTAGCAATTAATACATTTTCATTATGCACAAAATATTGAGATCAGCAGGAGACACAAACCCAGCCTTGGGTAAAATCTATGTGTGGATCCATCTGATGTGATGACCCCTTTGGGAAATAAGAGAGAAGTTGAAAGTATTATACAGAGTTTGTACAGTAGTTTGTGTCTTAATAGCTAGTGGTCATCCTCATGACCTTTGAGAAATTGGACATTTTTATCTTCCAATTAACCAATT